CTCTTCTTAATGCACCCCAGGATCCCACTGGCCTTCTTGGCCACGAGGGCATCCTGACACGCGCCCGGGAGGCGCTGGCCTCGTCCCGGGAGGCACGGGGCATCCGTGGCTTTCGCCCGCGCTCCGTTAGCTCGTGTCTCGGAGGCACCGGGAATGGCTCTGACAGGGCTCTCTTGTTGGGAGCTGTGAGGCGCAGGAGGAACCATTCTGCAAATTTGCCTGTAGCTGCTTATGGTTTTAAAAAGTGCTGAACAGGGGTCTTTGTGCTTTCCTCCCGGAGGATCCCTGAAACGCGCTCCGAGTTTGGCTTTGCTCCGTGCTCAGTCCATGGGCACACATTGAAGCCTTTCTTATCCACGCACTGCTGCAAGGCACCCATGACAAATGGCAAAACTAAAGGAGCCTAAAAATAATTCTACTGAGTTCCTCTCTTTTGTCGCATCCTGCATCACCAGCAGCCTTTCCTCAGTCTGTGCCGCGGGTCGGAAAGATCCACAAATGGCTCCTGGATGCGGCTTGGCCTTGCGGGGAGGCCTCCCCTTACAGAAGGGTCACGGTGCCTGCGGCCGTGCCAGCGTTCCCGATGAGGATCCCCGGGACGGCCGGGAGCAGGTCGCTCCAAACGGGCCGTGCAATGTGCGGCCAGGATTGTCTTCGGGACCCGAAGGGCTCTTCCCCGGGAAACAGTGACTTTCCATCCAAGCTGAATTTTTGAACAGGAAAACTAAAGTGTTCAAACTGTGTATTTTTAAAGAATTTGCAGTTTGGTGGCTTCTGCAGTGCAGGCAGTCACAGAGCTGCCTCGCTGCTTTCTGCATGGGCTGCAAAGAGCTGGCTGGGGATCCCAGCCATGCCCAGGGGCTTCGGGAACCCGTCACTGGCTCCTGTCACGCCTCCTGCCTGTGCCTCGTGCTGCAGCAGTGTTTTACCTGCACGTCTAAAGAGTTTGCTCTTGCTTGGAGCTGCGCTGTGCAAACACTCCGGGGAGCGACGCGTTGTGTTTCCGTACTCCGAGCGAACGAACTGAGATCCAGCGGAAATGCGTGTCTGACCTCAGCTAAGCCAGCTGCTTCGGAGTAGAAACGAACAGTGCCTCGTGCCCGGTGGGTTTTTACGATGCGATATCTGTTTTAGGCTGCAAACAGCTTTCTGAGCTGAGGTTGCAGCCTTACCTCAAGGAGGGCAGTAAGCCAGAGCTCCCAAAGCTCCCAAAGAGCATGACAAAATCCTTGCGGAAACAGGACAAGTGGTGACTTGCATGAGGTGGGAAATCCCACGCTTGCTTATCATCTGGAACTCAATAAATCCGCTGAATTAATGCAAATAATGGAACTATAAAACACCCCAATTCCGAGAAGAATTCCACCAAGGTGGTGTCTATCCACCGCCGCTCTCATTGCGCTTGTCCACAAACGACAAATTACCAAAGGAGCTGCTCTGGAATATCGTATCCAAATGGATTAGGCTGAATCGGAGAGAGCCCTTGTGCTCCGGAATGGGGCTGCCCTGGTCCATTTCCAAGTGCAGAGGGCATTCAATAGGAGGGAGAAGCTGGTGTTTCTCCAGCCGGGAGGAGTCGCTGGCTCCGGGGTCCGGCTGCGACGCGGAGCGCGTTGGGGGTTTCTGCCATCCAGGGCCTTCCCGTGCAGTGACGTGGGGCTCTCTCACCGTTTCCTAGTAGTGTTTTGCCAGGTAGCTCCTTCTCCTCCTGTACGGTGGCAACAGGAAACACCGTCTGTCCTGCAGATCTTTCCCATACCGTGTTGCAACCCAGTGTTTTACTTCTTTCATCCTGCATGGCCTCCTCTTAGCTTCCGGATTTGCAGAGATGATTTAGCACTTACAAGTCATTAAAGCATGCCCATGGTAGCACGTGGTTATTGCGTTATTGACTTGCAGCCACAAGGTTGGTCATGATACATAAATTCTGGAAAATCTTTTGTTGCGAGTGTGAAGTCACAAAAGCAGAATTGCAGGACATAGCTGGGAGTCTGCCCTCAGCACTGTAATTCTCTACAAAGGGTTTGATGCTAAAGCTTGTATTGTGAAGAGGAGTATGTTTATATACAGGCTTTTAATTTTCTTAATCCTGGAAACTCAAAATGTGTCTTGGAACAGAGGTTGTTTTTCTGAGTGTGCTTTTGTTGACTGTCTGACTATTGCTGTTGCATTCCTCAGGATTTAGAGTGGCTCTCAATTTACCTTAACGTTTTATTTACTCAGCCTGCACTGTGTGAGATTTTGACATTTTCAATAGCATCACATGAGTCTTAACGTTATTTTTGTCTGCTTGCTGAATTATAGAAATTCAGAAGACGAGTCCAAGAATCTACTCAAGTGCTCCGAGAACTGGAAATTTCCTTAAGAACAAATCACATCGGGTAAGGACTTTTGATGACCTCTGGTCTTAGATTTTTACATCTGCTGCTGGATTGCTTTGAGAAATGTTCCCTTTGTATGATAAATAGTGACCCAACTTGATTGATCATTAAGGCCTGCAGGGTTTGGTTGGGCTTTAGTGGGCAGCTCTAGAGAACCCAGCTCCCATCTTTCCATGTTAGGGCAGCCCATGTCTCCTGCAGGAAATTTCAGCCTCCTTTAGGGAAGGCAGAAGAGGAGGGAGAATCTCTGGGTCTAGAAAGGTAATAGTATTGCTGCTATAAATACATATGTATAAAAACATGTTGTACTAGTGCTTTACCATGGTGCAGCCTGGCTATAAATAATGTTACCTGTGTTTTACTGTCATGAACTAGAAAACAACCTCTCAAATAGCAGGAGAAAAAGAGGCTCCGGAGATGATGGTTCAGGGTTAGCCTGTCAGCTGCAAAGGTTTCTTTAACGCTTTCTCTCGTGATCTTAGCGTGTGTCCAGCTAAATTGCATCAATTTCACAGGCAGCAGTTCTTATTTTGAGGAAACAGAGCCATTTTAGAGGGTGAATACAGCAGCAGTGCTGTTCCTGGCCGCCAGCATGTGCCTTGCTGGTGCTTAGGAAATCTCCGCGTGCTCGTGGGCAGCTCCGTGGGTCCCGAGGAAGCTGGCCCTGTGCGGGGACCAGCTCCGTGTCCCCACACCATGCTCAGCACTGGCTTCTCAGTTGCCCCCTGCGAGTTACCACCTGGCAAGCAGTGGATAATAGTGGGTATTAATCATCCCAAGCACTCACGGCGAGGCTGGAAGAGATCAGGAAGACCCTCATGCACCACCTGGGTTTTTGTGCCCGCGTTCCTGGCCCGTGCTTCCTCAAGAAGCAGTTTGGGGAAGAACAGTTTCCGTGCGCAGGCTGCAGGACTGGATCCAAGTGTGGAGGGCCGGAGCCTCTCGGTGCCGCCGGAGCCGTCGTGCGGAGCGG